TTGGCCAGGCCCTTTTCGGGCTGCAAACTATGCCTGAATACTGCGTGGCTGATGTTGTAGATGTCCGCCTTGTAATTCAACAGCTGGTGGTTGAGGCTGCAGTCGTCGTTGGCCACCCGCGCACAGATGATAATGCAAATGCGCTTGATCGCCCGTGGGTGAATGAGGTGGTAACCGCGATGTGAATCACCCACTCGAGGATGAGAAAGCAGGCAATCTAGATCACCCACTGGTGGATGATGTCGTACCCTTCGAAATGTGTTGCAGACATCTGGCGGGGGCGGCTGTTCTCGTAGAGCGCGCGCGCGCCGCCGATCGCAGCGGCGAGCCGAAGCCGGCCCCCCTTGGGTCCCGGCGCGTCGGCGCGGGGGCCCGGGGCCAGAAAGGCCTGCGTGTTCCTCCTCCTCCTCCTCCTCCTCCTCCTCCTCCTCCTCCTGTTCCTCCTCTTCCTCGTCCTCCCCCCCGTCCCCTCCTCACCCTTTGTTCCTGCTTTTGCTGCTGCTGCTGCTGCTGGTCCTCCTCCTCCTCCTCCTCCTCCTCCTCCTCCTCCTCCTCCTCCTCCTCCTCAGTCTCATCATCTTTTTTTCTTGCCTCTAAGACATCTCGGGGGCCCCAGTGAGTGCTCCGGGCCTCGGGCGGCGAAGACGAATGAGCGACCACGCTCCCGCGGCAACCATCCCAACCGATGGAAGCCGACGGCGGAGAGCAAAGCACAGCGCGCGAGAAGCTGGGCCAACAGCACCGCGCCCCACACAGAGGATGCCAGTCCTAGCACTCGAAACCTGGACCCCGTTCAAACATTGGAGACCTTGAAATGGGCACCAACACCAACACAGTGGGTTGCCTCCACATGGGAAAGATGATCCTAGATTTCGGTGTTGGTGGTAATATTTCGGCCACCTTGGAAGCCAAAATATTACCACCATCACCGAAATCGGGATCTTCTTCCCTCGGTGGAGGCACACCGCCAATATTGGTATTGGTGTCAACCTCTAGGCCTGCGAGAACAGGGTCCTCAGCCTCATCATCTTCGTCGTCCATCAACCGTCGTCCGCCGGGTCGTTCGTCGTCCGTCCTCCATGGCCCGTCGTCCCCCTCCTCCTCCTCCTCCTCCTCCTCCTCCTCCTCCTCCTCCTCCTCCTCCTCCTCCTCCTCCTCCTCCTCCTCCTCCCTCCTCCTCCTCCTCCTCCTCCTCCTCCTCCTCCTCCTCCTCCTCCTCCTCCTCCTCCTCCTCCTCCTCCTCCTCCTCCTCCTCCTCCTCCTCCTCCTCCTCCTCCTCCTCCTCCTCCTCCTCCTCCTCCTCCTCCTCCTCGTCCATCAACCGTCGTCCGTCGGCCATCGGCCGTCGTCCGTCCTCCATGGCCCGTCGTGCGCCGTCCCTCGTCCGTCGCCCGCCGTCTGTCGACGTCGTCGTGTGAAGTGTTCGGAGGTCGCCGAGTGCTCGGCGAACCCCGAAGCCTACCCCCGCCGCCCACCGAGTTGCCTGAGGCGTTGATCGGCGAGGGTGGAATTCAGATTCAGCGCCCCTCCAACGGGGACTCCACTAACGGGTACTTTGGCCAATGGCCCGGCGAACCCAACCCTCCCCCATGTGGGCAACGCTGCAATGCCAGAAAGCAACCCTAAAGCGGCAACTTTCGGCACATCTCCAAAGTACCCGTTAGTGAGTACCCGTTACGGTGCCGCTGACAGATTTCGCCGCCGATGGTGGCCGGCTCTGGAAGCCCTGAATGCCAAGAAGTGGACTGCTCTGGGCGTCGGCGCGCACATCCGACTTCGCCTGCTCGGACCCCACTCGGGAGGCCTGGACAACTGCACCGCACCCACAAACGACACACGGTAAAAATCAAAAGTAGGGGCGCAGGGCAAGGATGCAAGACCCCTGGAAGTCCCGTCTGCCCTTGAGAGCTCCTTGAAGTCAACAGTGGCTCAGGAGGGGCCGAAGAAGCAGGGATGCAAGGGCAGCCTTGATGAAGCAGCGCACCCTCACCATGGACTTTGTCTGTGCCCCCTGGCGCGAGGGCCCTGGCGGGTCCCCGGACCTCGCCGCGAGGGCCCTGGCGGCGGCGCCCAGCAGCGCCGCCCGTGGCGGGAGCCGCATGGCTTCGCTCGCGGGCCTCGGCAGGGGGGGCCCTCGGGCGCGGCCTCGAGCGCCGCGCGGCTACGGCCAGGGAGGAGGGGCGGCGGCGGCGGGGGGAGGCGGAAGGGGAGGGAGGTGGGGAGGCGGAGGACGGGAGGAGGAGGAGGAGGAGGAGGAGGAGGAGGAGGAGGAGCGAGGGAGGGAGAGGCGGAGGAGGAGAGGGAGGGAGGGAGGGAGGAGGGAGGGAGGGAGGGACGGAAGGAGGGAGGGAGGGAGGAAGGGAGGAAGGTAGGGAGGTGGGAGGGGGAAGGAAGGGGGAGGAAGAAGAAGAAGAAGAAGAAGAAGAAGAAGAGGGAGGGAGGGAGGGAGGAAGGGAGGGAGGGAGGCAGCCGCATGACCTCGTTCCAGGTTTGGCGGGCC